GGTAGTATTAATATTCAAGAAGTCATGGTTGCACCATTAAAGACAGCCTCCTTAATTTCTGATACATTGAAACGGTGACAGTGTGCTTCCCTTGTTTGCCACTGGGTGGCAGTGCATCGCTACACTCTCTGTGGTGCAAGAGGTGCAGCTGAAGACCAAAAGTACAGAGATCTGACCGAATTCAGCCCGAATAGTAATATCAATGCTTTGAAAACTTTGTGACGGCATGAAATTCTGTAAAAATGGTGATCTGCTCTTGATTGTTAGATGAAACCCTGAAGGGTAAAAGCAGGACGGATGGAAATTTTTGAAATCTTCGATTCTTGTGTAACGTCCCCCTGATATTATGGATTATGTTGTACGTTTCAAAGATATTTAATATTATCGTTGTTTTAACATTGTTTCCTTGATACTTTATATTCACTGTAAAAAAGATATTTGCACTTTATATGAAGAATTCTGCATATTATTTTTGATAGGTGATGTTGCATTAAAAAAACTAGATAATTTGTGTCATTGCTGTTTAACAGAAGATATATCAACTTTTTCTTTTCAAAGTATATTTTGTCAGTGTTAAAAAGAGTTTATCAAAGTGAACTGCATGAAAACGTTGAAGTGAACCAACTGGAATGATTTTTTAAATAAAAATGGTCATAATGAAACTGCAATGTTTAATTTCCATGCATTAATTTAGTTTCACCTTAGTCCGTAAAAATTTTATAGCGTGTTATATTGCCAATTCATCAGATATGTTGCCTTTCAAAAACTAAATATGGTGCTTAAATTGGCTTATTATTTTAACATCATCTTCACAATCATTGTCATCGTCATTTGGCTGTTTGTGTGTCTTTCTCGCCATTTTCTGTACAACCCTAACCTTAAATGTCCTTTGATAGTACAAATTTGTGTTTTTGTAAATAGCTTAAGTCTGAAAATGACCAATGATTGCAATAAAGACATAATTTAACAATTTCTCTTGTGTCCTTACAAACCATTAAAATAATCAGTATGTTTTTGGGGACTATATAACTTTAACAATTAGTTTAATTCACAAACATTAACTTGGAAAAAAAAAATCATAAAACTATTAGCTGTACTATACAGCTGACATCTGAAAAAAATTAATAAAATGCTTGAAGCTATTTGTAAATATATATGTAAATATTAAAAATTACTTTGTAACAGACGGACAATTAAAGGCGGACCTATTTTTGATGCTATTCCTAATCCAACCTCACAGTCGCCTCGATTTATTAATTTATTTTATTAATCTCTTGTCTGATTTTATTAGTTAGTTTAATCTAAATCACCACAATAAAACCAAGAAGCCCTAAGTATCATTAAACCCATTCATCCACCTTTGATAAGCACTTACCCGGTACAGGCTAGTGTGAGCATGTACTGTATCCGACCTCATGATGTTGAGGTTACATGTTAGTGAACATGCTAAACAGGATGCTGGTCCGTCCCAGGACACGCGTTAACACACGCACACACGTGACCCGCACCTTTGCACTATACCTGGAAACACCCGCATATGGAGGGAATTCATTCAAACATGGCTATAATGTTCAGGTTCCACAAACATGCAAGCTGGATGGGAGCCAAACCCACAGGCCTGAAGGTAAGAGAACACAATGTTTTCCTCTGAGACACTGTCGCGCCCATCACGGCACTCAAAGCAGCAAATCGCTGGCAAGACATAATTATAAATAGCAATAAGACAGTCTAAAAGCATTCAAGTCTGACAGGGAAACATTAATGTTTCTTTCCTATCCCTACTTGAGTTCAGTAGGTAGTACTGCTGGCTCTCACCTCAAGGGTTGTGGGTTTGAATCCCCCTAGCTCCATGTTTGTGGGCTTTCCATGTTTCCCCTGTGTTTGTGTCGGCTTCTTCCAGGTGCTTTGCTTTCATCTCGTGGTCCACTGAGGTCTCTGGAGTGAGTCGCCCTGTAACTGAGCAAAAAGGCTTTCTGAGAAGCTGACCAACTGAATTTCATTTGTGTAGTGCATTTTCATAGCATTACATTTTCTCAAAGTGCTTTAAATTATCCCCGCTCAAAGCCCCCTGTGAGCTGCCAGAGGTGACAGGGGCAAGGAAAAACTCCCTAGAAGGAAGAAACCTTGGGAGGAACCAGATTCAAAGGAAAAAAAACAATCAATATTTGACTGGCTTTCCATGTGTACAAAATATGTAACCCAGGAAGACTTCAAACTTTTAAAAACTAGTGTATACATGGGTTACATTGACCACACACAAGACAAATACTGTACTAACCTGATTACAGCAGCAGTGAACGTAGTACGTACGTAGTTACCGGTAATAAATAAGACCAAAATTGAGAATATTGAAACACACTTACGGAGGCATTCCAGGCCACTGGAACTCAGATTATAAATGATCAGAAATGTAGTGTAATGTTTATTAACCAAGCAAGTGTTGTTTCAAACATTCGTTGGTTGTTTCAAACATTCGTCGGTTGTTTCAAACATTCGTCTGTCGTTTCAAACATTTGTCGGTTGTTTCAAACTTTCGTCTGTTGTTTCAAACATTCGTCTGTTGTTTCAAATGCAACATTTCAGCTGGTAGGCCAGGCCTGGGATTTTCTTTTCTGTCGTGGGTGATATTAGAGCTTCACCATGTCAGCAGGGGGCTGTTATTTATTCATTATTTTCATGTCCTATGATTTGTTAGATTTTGATATATATATTTATTTATAATTCATAGACTTAAAGATAAAATTTTCCTTGTTTTTTTTTTAATTTTAATTTTAATAATCCTGTGGGCCAACAAAAATGGCCCATATCTGCACTAAAGGCATGTTCTTGGTTTGGAACCCATACTTACGCTTAGCTACCTGAATGTAATCATTTTTTTTGTCATCATGCTTCATGCATCAGTTTTTCAGAATTCTAGTGTGTATGCAAAAATTTAAAATGCTTTACGTTTCGTGGAGATCAAATTAAATTGATGATATTAAATTTTATTCATTATCATCTGAATATTCATAAAACTGTTTCTGTAATCCCAGTCTTATCTTGCTGCCATTGCATTATTATTTGGTCCAATGGCAATTTTGTTATTATATTTAAAGAGTCAGTTTTATGGTATTTTTAAGGTTCTTCTTTCTGAAGACTTGGCGAATCAGCTAGCTGACCTAATTTAAAAATACAACACGGAATAGCTCTCCAGTGTGATGATTTCTTACTTCCCCTAGGTTTGAATAGCTGTTTAATAAACTAAGAACATAATAGCAACAGAAAATCTGCAAATGGAGTGCCGTATGACCCTTACATTACTCAGTTATATTAATTAAATTTTTTAAAAATGCGTGGAGCTGTCCAGGGTTCTGAAAACCTGCAGTTATGAATCTACAGACAGTGGACAGGAATCCGGAACTGAACGGCCAGCAGTCAGGTCTTTGCAGTCAGCACCACGGAAGGGTGGAGGTGACCCTGTGTCAGTGTTTGGTATGGGTACGCGAACCGTTCAGCTGCCACAAAGGCGCAGAGGTGACACGGCACCGGCAGCTCGACGCGCTCCATACAGACGGGCCAGCTGTACGTCTCCGTGGTCCCGTGTGTGAGGTTATGAATGACTGCAGCGTTTCCGGGGAAACCAGGTACTGGAACCGCCCAGCTGTGTTTCCACTTCACAACAGCTGGTTCACAACACGGGCCGTGTTTGGAGGGTTGTGGGTTCGAATCCCATGGGCAACAGAGTAACCATATCACTGCCAGGTGCTCGAGCAAGGCCCTTAACCCGGACAGCTCTCTGACCCAAAAACCTGTTTTTCTCACAGAGAACAAGATGGGGTTTCCAAAAACCTATGCTTCTTTACAAAAGGCAAATAAAGCATCTCTCATCTTACAGCTGAACTGCTCCACACATGAAGCTTTTACAAGCTTAGGATCAGCTCAGACCCGAGCCACCGACCACTCTGTCCACCTCCAGCTTATTATTGGATGCCGCTCCAGCACCTGCGCCCTCACAGGAAACGTCAGACAGCTGCTAGACTGTCTCGCTCTGGAATTCACACCCTTACGGTGACCTGGGGCTCCGGCTGAAGGTTCGGTTGGGACTCCGGCTCCTCCTCGTCTGCCAGGACTCCAAAGCAGCACCGTCTCTTAAATCACATAAAAGCAGAGCAACTCGACGCATCAGATACATCACGTGCCGTTATTTACTCTGACGAATCAGAGCATCGGCTCATGCATGTAAAGGGTAAAAATGGTTAAAAAAATTAAATTAATTTAAAGTGTTTCAGCAGAGTTGGCCTTGCATTTTAGCCTGTGACATTTTAAAAACTGCCACTTTTTATCTGTACAGTTATTAAGTGGAGACTTGGTGCGACCTGATCGGAAACAGAGAAAGGTGCACAAACGGAGGCAGGGAGGCACAAACGGAAGCAGGGAGGCACAAACGGAGGCAGAGAGGCACAAAAGGAGGCAGGGAGGCACAAAAGGAGGCAGAGAGGCACAAACAGAGGCAGAGGCACAAAAGGAGGCAGGGAGGCACAAAAGGAGGCACAAACGGAGGCAGAGAGACACAAACGGAGGCTGAGAGGCACAAAAGGAGGCAGGGAGGCACAAAAAGTGGCAGGGAGGCACAAACGGAGGCAGGGAGGCACAAATGGAGGCAGGGAGGCACAAACAGAGGCAGGGAGGCTGCAGCCTTTTCCCAGCAAGGGAAGCTGCTGATCTATCGTTACTCATGTCTACCTTTGCTTAGCTGATGCTGATCCATAGCAGCTCTAAAAATGGCTACCCCTGCCTGTGAGATTCCTGTGCCAGACGGGAGGTGTGATGTTTCGTAGGGCCCCACGATCTGCATGAGGATCACTGTGAGAAGTGTGCAGGGCCGCGATCGTTTGCAAGGGCGTGCAGCCTGGCCGGCTGTGACCCCTCTGCCCTGGGTCCTAATGCCAGCAGGGTTATGGACCTCCTTTTATAAACATGACGTTCCTCCTCATTTACCCCAAAAAAGAAATACTTCGAGATAAACTAATAATTTTTTTATGATGCAATTTAGCTAAAGAATACAATGTGTCCAAGGTGGCAGGGAAAATAAATTAGAAATGAAGGAAAAATAAATAAGGTTACAATGACAGAGTACAGTAACCATATGAAAAAGGCATTAGGATAACTTAATAAATACAAACCTAATTGTTTTAATGTAACATTACATTAGGACAACTAAATAACATTCTTCTGCTGAAACTGGTGTCGTAAACATTGGTAGAGAAATAGACGTGAAACTAAAATGCTTTTATGAAATTCGATAAAACAAAATGACAGATTGTTACAGCCGCTTATTCCCGATCTGGGGGAAATGCTCAGCTGGGGGGGTGGGGGGGGGCTTGGTCTGCTGCAAGGGTCGCCATGCCTCTGGTACGGTCCAGCTTCCTGGCTGTCCTATTTCCGCACAGGAAGACGAGAAGGGATGATGTTGGAGACTGCTGTGCCCCCCACATGCAGAGGGGGGGGGTAGCAGACCCGGAGCTCTCCTTCACTTCACCCCTATTGGACCCCTAAAAATTGCTGTGCTTCCATTTCCTTTTCCTTGTGTTCAATTTTTGACCTGTCGCTAAAAATGCCCACAGTGCCTCCCGTCCGGTTGCAGTTCCTCGGTTGTCCAGCAGAGGCGCAGCTGGAGAGACGGGTGCATCTCGCAGAGGGGCATCAGCTCCGCCGGCTGGCGGTGGTCCTGCTGGGGGGTCCGGGCGGGATGCTCCCCTCCCTCGGGGGGCTTTCCTGACGTCGGCCCGGGTCGCCTCCCTCCAGCTCGGCACGCAGTAGCGAGACGTACGCCCCGTATCGCTCCCTCTGCAGTAGGAGAAACAACCACGTCAAACGAGGAGCGAGAGCGACGGCATACACCTCCGAGGCTCGGCAGCCGGCAGAAGCGGCAGGAATAGCTATGGGGGAGGGGCACCGACGCCGAGGTGCCCCACGGACGCCCGTCAGCCTGAGACGCGGCAGAGTGCCACCTGCTGGAGGAAGCCGGCCTCAGTCTGAACGTCCACAAACTGTCTGGTGCAGGAAAAGGAAGCCTCACAGCAAGCAAGCAGCCCTACACGGTGAGTATTTAACCAGCCATCCAGAAAAGTAGCATCAGCATTTCTGAGCTTTAGCAAAGTAGCATTAGCATTTCTGAGCTTTAGCTAAAGTAGCATTAGCATTTCTGAGCTTTAGCTAAAGTAGCATTAGCATTTCTGAGCTTTAGCAAAGTAGCATCAGCATTTCTGAGCTTTAGCAAAGTAGCATTAGCATTTCTGAGCTTTAGCAAAGTAGCATTAGCATTTCTGATTAGCATTTTTCAAGCTCATCTGCAGATTTCACTTCCATGTAAGATATCTGAATTAGATACTGATTGGGAGCATCACTAGAAATGTATGAAAAGGGGGAGGCCTAAGCCTTTACTGGGGGGTCTGATTTTAATGAAAATGAATGTTTAAACTAATTCCGGTGTATTTGTCTGGGGTGGGAGCTAAAGCCCCCTGAAAACAGCACAAGTGACAACGTTGATATTCAAGATGAATCAAACACATATTTTGAGTGTGACCCGCTTCCCAGTGTGCTGTCGGGGCCCCGCCGCACCTCGAAAGTGAGGTACTGCTCCATGGCCAGCCGCTCCTCCCAGCCCGTGGCGTCTGTGGGGGTCCTGGTGTGGCTCTCGAGCTCCGAGCAGATCTGCTTGAGTTTGTTCTCATGGCTCTTTAGCTGCTCCTCCTGCGGAGGCAGATGGTCAGACAGATGGACAGACAGACAGGAAGATGGACAGACAGCCAGACCGATGAACAGATGAACACGAAGATGGATGGATGGATGGACAGACAGACAAGCTGACAGACAGACAGGCAGGGAGATGGACAGACAGGTGGGCAGGTGGATGGACAGACAGGTGGGCAGGTGGATGGACAGATAGGCAAGCAGAAGGACAGACAGGTGGACGGACAGACAGACAGCCAAGCAAGCGGGCGGACAGAGACAGGCAGATGGACAGACAGGTGGATGGACAGAGAAGTAGATGAACAGACAGACAGGGAGACGGATGGGTAAACAGATAGAGAGGCAGATGGACAGATAGGCAGATGGATGGTCAGACAGACAGACAGGCAGGCGGACAGTCAGACAGACATAGGGATGGTCAGAAAGGCAGACAGATGGACAGACAGACAAGCAGGTAAACATGAGACGAGGCATTGTGGCCTTTCAGCTCATGGGCCTCGTTCAGCACATGATACTCATACCAATACCATGCCCCTTTAGCAATGGGGAAATGGGGGGGGGGGCTTTGTATAATATATATTGAAGGGAAAACACCCAGCTGGATGGAGATACATGAGACGTGTGTGTGAGAGAGAGAGAGTGTGTGTGAGAGAGAGAGAGAGAGAGTGTGTGTGTGTGTTTGTGTGTGTGTGAAAGAGAGAGAGAGAGTGTGTGTGTGTGTGTGTGTGTGAGAGAGAGAGAGAGAGTGTGTGTGTGTGTGTGAGAGAGAGAGAGTTAGAGCGCGACTGGCCCCAGGGGGATACCTGGCTCAGCCTGGTGGTGGACGAGGGCAGGAAGGGTCTGCAGAACTTCCTCCTGGAACCGACAGGTGCTGGGAGGGCTGGTGCAGAGGAGAGGGCAGCTACCAGGTTGATCTGCCGGATCCATGACACCATCTCCTCCTCGCTCCTGGCACAGCCAGAGGAAGGATCGCACAAGCGCTTAGTCACAGACACACACACACACAGACTTACACACTCGAAAGGGCTTGACTGCGTTTCACCAGAACAAGCACGTGTATCACGGCCTTTTCCCTTTTCTCTGTTATCACATCCCCCCCCACCTGATCCCTGTCTCCCCAGTGGATTTTCCACTGTGTGTTTGGGAACCCGGGGACTTACGGGGCCTGGAAGAGGAACACCTTCCAGTCGGACGTCTTCAGCTTGAACACGTTGGGCCTCTTGCCATAGTCGCTGGCCCGGGAGGCCAAGGCGTGATGCACAGACAGGCGGTCCTTTAGGTTCACCTCCGACGGCTCCTTGTCAGGGTTATATTCATCCTCACCACCAGGTGGAGACAAAGCAGCATGTGTCTGCGGCACCAAAAACAGCTACATTCTCAGGCCGCTCATCTGACACACCGTACTGCGTAAAACCGCTGAGACGCAGGCTGCACTTTACCTTCTGGAGGTACAAGACTGCCCCCCGCAGGACAACACTGAACTTCTTCCAGCTACGGCGTACTCTTGGCGCTGGAATAAGGCACATTTGACGGAGGTAAGACGCGCATTCTGGTCGACGTTCTACGCGCCGCCACATTGTCCGGCACACTTGTGCCCCCTGGTGGTGCTCACCGGGTCTGCCATCCATTTCAAACAGGACTTTGCGTAGCAGGGTGCCGTGTTTGTGCGTGGTCCTGCCGGGCGAGAGCGGGCCACTGATGACGGGATTCCTGCTCTCTGAAGGTTTCACTGCCGCGCCGCCTCTGTCCTCCGTCCCCGATAAAGGCTTCTCTTCCTCGCTTAAAGACAAACGCACGAACACTGCGACATTCATAATCATTGTCGGTCTTTGAATATCCTACGCCGTTTTTGTTAGCAATTCAATGAACTGTGATTCATCGTATTTACAGTACTCTGTAAAAGTTGTAGGGGTCGTCTGTCTTATCCGCAAAGTGTGTGTGCAGGGTTTTGGGATAACCTTTAAATTAGCTGTTCAAACCCAGGTGTGAGGACTCTTTAGCTAATCAGTCCCCTAATCAGTATCTAAATTGGGAGTTGCACTGAAAACCCGCATACACAGCGGCCCTTTCTGGGTAAGATTTGGCGACCCTTGGCAGTCTAAGGAAATGTTTATCTGGGTAGTAAGGGTATGTGTGCTCAGGAAAAAAACACACACATGAAAATTAAGAATAACAGAGTAAAACAGTAACAAGAATTTCTCTGTTATGTTCCTGGAGGCTAGATGGACTCTGCTTCATTTCCCAGCCATTTGTTAAATTTCACCGTCAGCTCACTTAGTTAAATTTAGCTTAAAAAGTAAGTGAAGTATTGATTAGCAATTCGAGGTGTCTTAGGGGTCGAGTCAAAGAAATACACGGCTGTGATGGACAGTGGGAGCAAATATTGGGGTGACTTTAAGAGAGGTTCTGAGACGGCCAAGCTCACACACTTTGGCGGACAAAATACCACAGTTTTACTCTGACACAATCATTTAAACATTTCCTTTGACTGCCTAAGACCTTTGCTCGGCACTTTTGCCCTGCCAAATGCCTGCTTTATTAAAAATATTTTTCCTGTATGACAGCTACAGCTGACTGGAAAAGGGCTCCGTAACACTGGGTCACTTCATATTTCCTCCGAGTGTCTGTGTGATCCCACAAGTAAACCAGCCCTGATGCGAAGTGAAAGCCACCCTTTAAATGTCAAAAGGAGGAAGAAATAAAGACCAAAATGACAGAGAATAAACTCTGGAAAACTGCATGGCAAATGAATGCATGGCCATATAAATGTAATTACATTGTAAGTATTAATGATTTCAGAAAGTATTCCTATATAACTGTAACTGTTAAATGTAAATGCATGTTCTTTTTTATGTTTAATACAACCTTGAATTCTTTATTAAAATATTCTAAGGAGCTGGTGAAATGTCAAGGGCATGGTACAAAAAAATTAAATCTGTTTTCATATTAGGTAAATTTAAGGATGTTATTTCAACTACTCATTTTACAATACCGTATCCATACATCATTACTAAGTAAAAAAAAAAAAAGAAGTAAATAATCATCTGTGCAAAAAGTTCATTTTCATAATCTACCTGTAATTGTAATATATCGTTGAATTGGTTTGCATTTTACAATGAAACATGCATCAGCATTCTGTATTAAAAGAGGTGAAATGGTTTCCCAGCGAGTGACTGAGAATGCAAAGACGGCACATTCAGCGGGCGATTTGTAGGGAGGGTTAGGGTGGAGGCGCCAGGCTGCGACGCGGCATCACGTTTGGCGGGGGGGGGGATACTCACGGGGCCCAGTCCAGCTTCTCATTCCTTATCGAGTGGTACGATGCCTACAGGAGAACAGGGAGACAGCCCAGTCAGTCCCACTGCCGGAGCTGAAATCGGCTCAGCCAGAGTTTGTACGTGACTCCGAGTTCTGCGCAAAACTGTCAGACTCTAAATACACATATAAATTAAGGTTCTTACAGTAAGATAAGTAGACCCAGCGCAAAGCGTCTACGTAATTGCATTTGTTTTTATTGTCTTACTGCACCTTTATATGTACTCGTGATCTGTGTTTTATTTTTAATCAGTGTTTGCTGGAAGAACTTGCAGAGTAAGATTTTCATTACTTAGTGGAACTTAATGTGTACTTACATATACTGATACACTCCTGGATCTTGAATTTATATGACAGCAACGGAATTTATTTTCCTCCAGTAATTTTCAAAGAATGGATTATTAGGACGCGTCGCAGAAGTATATCACACAGAAGTGCACTGCCATACACAGGCAAAATGTGTTACTTTATCAAAAATGAGTTATGACCTGAAATGCTAATTTTAGGCTCAGGATTACCTTGTGATAAAATATCTGTTAAACTATGTCACCTTTAATAAGTACACTGCCTACCACACAAATAGGCGGACGATCTTAAAACTCGAACGCCCCTTTCCTTAGTTTCAGTGTTGGTAATTAAGCCTAATGTGTGTTGCCTTTGTAAGACAGTACAGTTAAGGACCATCCTATATAAAATTAATGATGTACTGACATGTTTTGGTCAATATTATAGACTGCCATGCAATGTTGTGTGTGTGTGCTCATGTATACATTACTTTGTGGGGACCAAAATGTCCCCACAATGTGATAAAATCCTGCTATTTTGACCCACAACAGGAGACTCAATTTTATTAAAATCTAACGTGAGTACAGGTGTGTGTGTGTGTGTGTGTGTGTGTCTGTGTGTGTCTGTGAGACAGAGAGTACTACCAGCATCATGACGGATTAATGTCAGCAGTATGTTTTATTATTGCTGGCGACAAGGAGACTGAATCGTCTATCAATTAAAAGTGGGACCGCACTGATCATGCCGACGGGGGTTGTGGGGGGGGGGGTGACCTTTAACAAGTCCTTGGGGAAGTTGCCACCACCGTTGAGGCCGTCCAGGTTGCGGATAAACTGCTGACAGGTCATCTTCCTGCCGAGGTTCTGCGGAGGCACACGGACAGACGGGGACGGTCACAGGCTGCCATGTAGTCGCACAACGATTCCTAAGCGTGACAGACCGAGTTCCCCATTCACCAAACTACTCTTGAAATTCTATTTGATTTTTTCATTTGCACTTAACCAAAGAAAGAACTGTAATTGTGAAAATTGTAGCTGGTTCTAAATATAATTTAATTTTATCTCTTAAAAATTCCTTATTCAGTGTTCATTATTAAAACATTAGTATATTACTGATTACTCGTTTGTGGTGTTAGAGTAAAACACACAGCTTTGATGAAATATAAATGTAGTTATTAATACAAGTTATGCTTTTGAATTTAGATTAAATTATTAAAATTTACAAGAAGTCTTCATATATCTCAGTTGACCAAGTATTAATAAGAATTCAGCTGTACTGAACACCGGACCGCGGCTGTACTGAACACCGGACCGCGGCTGTCCTCACATGACACCATCCTAGGAAACAGGAGCAGGTTTACTGTCATCTCTATGGGCCTCACTCACTCAAATAAAATAAAGTAAATAAAATTACATTTTAAAAAATCACATCGATGCCCCTTAGTGAAGTGACTGTTTGTTGCCAACAGGGGGCTCCTACACCTCAGGGGTCTCATACAAATGCATGGTTTGAGTGCTGGTAAACACAGCCAGTCCTAGGGTTTCTCCTTTTGAATTGCGGAAAAACAAACTGTAGGGCAAGACTTTAAATATATCGAATATACTTATATATATTTATGTTCTTTAAAAATAGTTTTTATTGAAATGAAAGTGTGATAAATGTAAATAAAAAGTGGAAAAAGAACCTGAATTAATGCAGCCATAAGATGGTCCCAAATTTGACAGATTCATCATAAGAATGAGGGCAATTCATTTGTTAAATACTGCAGGCATAATCTTTTTGAACTAGCTTGGTATTCTAAAATCAGTTTTCGGCGAGATCAGTTTTCCTGTGGCCACTTAATAAACCTATGCAACTGTACCAGATGCACGTACACAAAATATAGGGAAAACATTTCCCTTCAGGTAACCTCCATGTCCTTATAAAATTTGAATCATCTTGTTTGTAATATTGCTCTAAGAATACAGCACAATGAACTGTACAGACTTGGCGTCTTTTCACAAAATTCCTGTCTTTGTCAGAAAACAAATGTTGACTTGAATTTTAGCTCGCGTTGATCTTCCAAGTACCATGACATTTAGCCACTAGATGGCAGTATATAACCGCCAAATCTAATTTCAGTGCGATGCGATAAATAACTTGCGACCCCTCTTTCTCCACCACTAACTGCTGAGAGGAAAGATGGAGGTTGACTGAAGCGGCTAACCCCGCAATTCCACCAAGGGCAGACGTGGTCGCCGCGCCTCATCACCTTCACTCTAGTCAGTGGTCGTGATTCCACCAGAGGCGTTGCAGAGCGCTTCAGACGCGTCCCAGATGCGGCTCCCCGCGCCTGTATGCTAAACATACGCGCAGAGTCTGTTTTGGCGGATTCGGCTATTTTAGAGACTTTAAGCACGGTTCTCTGAACCATTTTGAGAACGCAAAAAAAAAAAAAAACTGTGTAGCTCTCGCACACGTATCTGCTGAATTATCTCAGGAATCCCGATCTCACAAAAACAAGGTGCTCAGTCGGGGACTGAACTTTCTGAACTTTTCACCTCTGTCTGCAATAGATTACATTTCTGTCTTCCTCACCACTGCATACAGGGGACCCTGTCGGTCTACAACAAGCAGCGTTTCTCATAAACATAATCTCTATGATTTTGTGGTGTTTCACAGTGTGTCCTCATCTTACCCTCAGAGACCCGCCCCTCCCCCTAGCCGCTCCACCAGCCACACACCGACACAGTTAATTCAAAAGCAACCAAGCCCTTTATCATTTATGTCAGGCTGAGTAGGGAAGGAAGTACAGGGAACACCATGGACAGGAGCCTCCAGCGACGGCTTTGAGGCCCAGCGCGTCGGGACGCTAGCTAGAGGGATCCACACGGGGTGTGACGTACATGTCCATGCAGGTCCGTGTTTAGCAGCATGAGGGCACAAGTCAGCGCGTGGATGCCATCTGCAGGAAGAAACGTGTTACTGCAGCAGCAGCTCCGTCCGTAGATATGCGGCGCTGGTCAACTTCACATTTATTCCATTCAGTTTTTACTTCTGTCCTTCTGCTAATTCAGTTTTAAGCTTTAAGTGTAAATGTTATGGCAGTTTTGGTTGTTTTGACCCTCACGTTTACTTAGGTTATATATGGTGTCGTATTACATTCATACTTGTCATTTTGGTAGTTCTACACACTACAGGCCTTTCTGCCTGCTATGCAGAGTGCGCTGCTTTTCTACATAAGACTCTACACAATGACAATAGAGGTGTCTTACATTTTACAATTAACAGTGTTTATTTAATAGTACAGGTAACAGTAAATGTCTTACCATACAAGTGCTACATTTAAGAACTGCATCATCTTTATGTAACATGGTCATGTCCATGTGTTAAGAACCAGTGAGGCATGTCTGCCATCGAAGGCGCACTGGGGAGGCGTTTGCATAGGGGGGCCGGGGGGGGGGTTTACCTTCGGACACGTGGGAGACCGGGTTGCACGAGGAGAACCTTCTGGAAAAGTGAGCCAGGATGCGTTCCCTTTCCTGCGTCTCTCCCGTCAGGGGGAAGGTCTTCAGGAACGTCCTGAGGAGGACGGACACCAGCACCGGGCCAAGCAAGACAGAAAGACAGAGGAAGGAGTTAGTATGGCGTATACTACATACGAGTGAGCGTCATCTGGTGGCTGCCATCACATTAGCTGACAGCGTTAAAATGCCTACCGGCTACGCGATCGCCTGCCCAGATTTGCTCAACCATACGGCGGCCTGATTTCCTGCAGCTTTCACGAAATAGTGTGACAGGAAATCTGCACGACGGTATGGAGGCACCCACCATGGCCCGCAACGTCCAAGACACGCTAAACATTTGGTATTTCACAGTCCCAGATATAAACAGTCACTCAATGACTCACAGGCACAGGCAATCAAGCCAGATAGAAACAGACTCTGTTTATTACATGAACTGACTGCAGCTCTGTTCAGCAACTTCTTTACCTCTTTCATATTGCAAAACCGTTAATTAAAGGATGTGTGGATTAAAACCAGCCAGGAGCTCATTAAATGGGACTCAAATCCGAAAAAAATAAAACTCCGTTATTCCCTTCTGCAGAAATTTAAGAGAGTGCCGTTTTAAAGGCACGTTCAATGCACATCAGCGGGACACAGCATTAAACCTCAACACAGTAGGCCACCCACATGAGCTGGTGCCCAACACAAGCACTGGGACAAAAACCACAGAGACACTCTTCAACCACAATTTCCAATAGTGTCTTACAACAGAAATTACCTTAGTGCTTGTTCTAAGGTCAGGCCTGTGAAGTTGAAGAAGTTCAAGTACTCTGCTGCCACCATCTGGTTGAACTTGTTACTGATTGGGAGAAATAATAGCAGTATGGAGAAAATTATGTCTCATGAACCGTTCGCTGTATTTTTTAACCCCACTAGGTGGTGCTGTTAATTTGCTTTGGGGCATGCTTTGTGCCCTTTTCTGAACATGGGGGCACCATCTAGTGGGGTCAAAAAAATACAGCAAATGGTTCCTGAAGTGTAATTTTGTCCATCACTAAATAATAGGGTTTATTAGGTACATTTGCTTTATTTGGCAGAAGCTTTTGTCAGAAGCAACATACAAGTCAGGCAAATAGCACATTACAAACTTCCAGCTGTCATAGAGTCAACTAGGCATAAGTGCGACTAGGCTGAGGTACCAATGAATGCCCAGGTACAGGCCGGGGAGGGTGATGATAGACAAAGGGGGGGGGGGGGGTGGAGACAGGCTCACTTCTTGCTCAGGTGTTGAGCCACATCACGGCGCCTGAACCCTTCCAGACGAAAGAGCCTCCCAGCCAGGTGTTTGGCAGCGTCTCTGTCGGCGCTGCCGCCCTTGACGACCACATCCCTGCCGCTCTGCTCCAGCTGGCCCGAGCTGCCCAGCTCCGAGTGGGAGTCCGACGCTGTGTCCGGGGAGACGCCGGACCGGCTGGAATCGCTGGCAAGGAGAGAGAGCAGAACACACACAAAGGGCTACAAAAACAATCGTAAAGGTTCTGAATTAAACCGAATGACATCATTTACGGTAATTTTGCATGCACGGTTTCCGAGAAATGATCCGGATTTTTTTATTTTTTTTTATTTGCTACATTCTGATGGTTTTTCCAGTCATGGAGCAGCAGAATTGACCAAAATCCAGAGCAGAAAGCGAGCCCAGAAAATTCTGACACAGATGGACAGAGGCAGACACAAACGGGTATCATAAACTCCAATTCAGAAGGAGGTAAGCAACATAAACAGATAAGAAAACACACACACACAGTCCACACATATCTTTATGGGGACTCTGCATTCATTTCTGAGAGAATGCCAAATCGCCAATAATTATAACCTTAACCCCTACCCAGCCCTAACCTTAACCATAAGTAACCAAACAAAATAAGACTTTTGGCATTTTTCAGTTCTGCCATTGCATTCACCAAAAAGAAAATATCCCTACAAGGTAAAAAGTTGCAGGTTTTTATTACATTGTAGGGAAATGTGGTCTCCACAATGAAAGAATTAAAACACACACGCACACACAGGGCCAGAAGCTCTCATTTTACGGGTAATCCGTGTGCATGTGTCTTTAATAGTTCTTTCGATAGTGTCACAAAACATCCAAGAATGTCCGTGAAAGCTGCTCGCTCTCACATGCGCATAAATCCAGCGTGCAGCCCATTCAAATCGCCAGCGCCTATGCAGACAAGGCTCTGTCTGGAAAACTAAATAAAGCTAAATAAAAACATCTTTGGTGTTCTGAGTAACAGGCTTGTGTCATGTGTACTTTCCTTTCTCGTCATTCTACAAGAAATACCACAGTTCCCGAAAACCCCGAAGAACCAAAAGGTGAAACAAAGCCTGGTTCTGGTGTAGACGCTGCAGTTCTGTGTGTGAGGAAGCTAATGAATTTACTCTGGTTTGAGAAAGAAAAACATGATAGAAGAACAGCAGCTGCTAATCACATACAAAATGTCAAACCTGAATGTTTTAGTAAATATGTCTGAGGGACAAATATATTTGAGGGACAAATGTAAAATGCTAACATTTTTTGGCACAAAAAAAAAAAAAAACGAAATCCAGTAATGAACAAAATGATGTTTCATGAACCATTCGCTGTATTTTTTGACCCCACTAGATGGCGCTCTCTATTCAGAAAAGGACGCAAAACATGCTCCAAAGCAAACAAAGAGCACCATCTAATGGGATCAAAAAAACAGCAAAGGGTTCATGAGGTGTCATTTTGTCCATCACTACGTATGGTATTTGTAATTAGGAAAAAGATGGTGGGGACTTACTGGAAAAATGAATTTTTATATGCGAGCATGAGCACTGTGACTTCAGGTGCCAAAAGACTACATTTAAGTTTCTGATACTCTAAACACCTAAGACATGAATGCTATGGAAAGTTACTGTGGGATTCAGGATGCTGTCCTTTAACCTAACATGGAGGAGGTATATGAAAACAGCAAATAAATTAACATTGATCCTTTTTGCAGATGCTACAACCCAGAGAGATGTACGGGTAGGAGACGACTGCCAGTCAGTGTTAATTAAAGGTATAATCAGCAGCAGTGTGGTGATTAGCCAGCACCAAGCTGTCACTGCATGTAACAAGCAGGACTGTAGCCAGAATGCAGCTTGTACTGCGGTACTGAGGATATTAGGCTAACACAGGTTTTTATTTAAATATCACACGCACAAAAAAAAATATGAATAGATACAGCAGAGGAAAGTCAGAAAGCTCCTGACCACAGGTCAAGAATTTGGACAAGCTTATCATGCAATAATTAAATGCGACAAGAGTAACATAAAAGATGAAGTGTGTACAGCTTGTGGAATTAAAGCCTTGCTAAGGAGCAACAGTATAAAAACACACCTGTTTAGTAGTAAAGTGAACAGGTTCTAGCAGATGTGCAGCTGCAGTGCTCCAGAATGTCACCATTTAATTGCATTTTGCGATCATTATTGAAGTGCAACAAAATGCTATAACTAGGACAGTTTTTCTTTTTTTCTAACTCGTCGTCGTATATCACGTGAAACCCCAGGAGAGAGCGAGAGAATTGGTGCGTGTGTGTAGTAGAGGGGTTATGTTTATTGGATTACAGTTTGTTCCCATGGAGGCGGAATTCCCAGTAAACACAGGTCATACCCTTCACCAAGAGGCGTGGGTAACCCGCTGAACCCAATACGTGCTGGGAATTGGGGATTGCAATTTAAAAAAAATTATGCATATATCACTCCGATGGAACCAGAAACTAAGTTCCTGGATTTTGGTGGTAAAGTCCGTCATGAAAGCAAAGCACAAGAGCGGCATAATCTATTCAGGGGCAGATGACAGAATAGCGGCTGGCCACATATCTTACGTTTACCTTTGTAAATATATTATTTGCTGTCTATAGGTGCTTTCACACTGAGGTTCTGGTTCTTGGGCCCTGGTGCCCACTTTGTGTGTGGCTTTCACACTGAGGTTCTGGTTCTTGGTCCCTGGTGCCCACTTTGTGTGTGGCTTTCACACTGCAATACAGAACTGGGAACTTTATGCTACATAAGCATGGGAGAGCTTTTAATTCATCTTGTTGCATTAGTTATTGAGAGGAACAATCACAATAAAAATGGGACACAGCCTTTTATTTGTATTTTATTAATGCGACCTGTGACGTGTTTATATTTGATTATTAAATCTGGCCGGCAGACCGATCTTTTGGTTTCATCTTTCGGTTGCATTATTCTGCTAATAAGCGCTGGTACGTTTCACAGGCACCTGTGATATTGTTATCGATCGAATTTTCCAAGGCAGAAATATGGAGACCCAAGCAAAATATGTATCCATCGATGATGTAAGTGCCTCCCTGGTAGTTTGTGGTCGATAGAAAAGGAGTAGGTACTAAAATGGTTCCTTGAACTGCCTCTGAGGAACTACAATCAGGCCGAGTTTCTGAGGCGTGACAATGACAAAAGGCCCTGAATCTAGAAAAGGGTTTTGGATCCTGAAAGCGTTCCTACGGTGTGAAAGTGCTTTAAAAAGCACCACTTAACGTTTTTTTCCCTCTTGAGCACTACTTCACTTTGTGACTTCTTCCTTTAAAACAAACCACATGGATATTTCTGCATTTATTACCAAAGCATTTATCAGAAATACAGTTAAGATGGAAAAAAAATATGTATGTGTTACACTGCATGTCCATTTAAGTGGAACGCCTAAATTTTCTGCTGGTGCCCCTAAATTTTTCAGCGAGGAGCACCAGTGCTCGTAGCGGAAAAAGTGAGTCTGCAGTCCTGAGCTGTAATCCTGGAAGAGAGAGACAGATGCTCCCGGGACTCTCAAGGAAGTCATGCGGCTGCATGGCTGTCAGTGACATATAAATCACACCGTGCAGAGTAATGCAGTTCCTGTTTACATAGCAGCACATCCTGTGAGCGTAAACTCTGGAATGTGTACTCTGTCAGAACTGGCATGTCACGGCCACATAAATGCAGCTGAACCTGCAACACAAAGGCACAGCTGACTGCGCCAACCTGTTCGAAAAAGAGACTGTGGGTTCACCTCACTAATTCTGCAAACAGAGAACTCCGGTTTGCTGCAGTAATGCGTAAACACAGAGAACCCCGGTTCACTGCAGTAACACGTATATATACAGAGAACCCCNCTTTGCTGCAGTAACACGTAAACACAGAGAACCCCAGTTAGCTGCAGTAACGCTTAAACACAGAGAACCCCAGTTCTCTGCAGTAACACGTAAACACAGAGAACCCCGCTTTGCTGCGGTAACACGTAAACACAGAGAACCCCGGTTCGCTGCAGTAATGCATGAACACAGAGAACCCGGCTTCACTGCACTAATGTGTAAACACAGAAAACCTGGGTTCACTGCACCTGTACTCTAACACAGGGGGCCATGGTTCTCTTACCTGAGGTCAGCATCCTTAGATTGCAGGTCATATGTTAGAGCTAAAATTCACAGCATGAAATATGGCATGAAGCACAGGCAGACAAGCACATGCGTCGAAATATAATGACAGACATGCAGTGGTTACAGTAAACAACAAAACATGCCACTCAGACTTATCCTGCAAGCAAAACGCTTCCCAGAGTTTTGACTCTCTGGTAAGTTAATTCTGTTTTGACAGATCCTGCCCATCCAACTTGTTGAAATGGAATTCGGCTGCTTTTAAGGTCCAGTATAGAGCCGGGAACAGGAGGGAACATGCCTGTGACTCATGCGCTGTCTGGCATTCACCTGCGCAGGTACGCCAGCAACAGGGCGTGGGACAGGGTGTGTGCTGCTGTGGCACTGGGCCAGTGCCTTTCCACTGCACACTGGAGGAGCACACTCCTGCCCACCAATCGCGTGCCAGTAGCTTACACTTTCTATGACCAGCAGAGTTTTCAAGTTCATGTGATACAAACTTTAATTTACGCACATCTCTATCTCTGTACTGGATAATTCTGAATTTCGATCTTCTCCCCTTCAGAAATCAGTTCTACACTTGAAGCTTCTAGAATCATCGAGAATTTCAAGGCAGTACATACATTTTGTGTAATTTGCCTACGAGATATTTCTGTTCCCATGTTAATTTAATTGACCCGCATTTTCCATAACTGCCTTTCGAGTAGAAATCCTGGCCCCTTCGGGTCACCTTCTTCTTTTAAGTATTCCCAGACGGGTGGAAACAGTGTCAACTAAACACGAATTCATGTCAGGATCCGATTCATTTGATTACACTACTTTTCCAAATGTTGCCTTAGTCGGCGAGGAGCTCGTAACTAAATATGTGAATACTTTGAATTGTAGGCTACTGTAACTACATACCCTCAATTCCTAAGATTTTATTACCTATAGTTATTACCAGTCCCAAACATCCCGGCAATGCACAAGTCAGAAGAAGTTAAGCAATAAGAATTACACCACGACACTGAAGCGCGTCTTGCAAAACCTTAAGGTTTTGTTTTTTAGTGGAAGATAACCGACACACGCAGCAAAGCACATAATTACAGCATATGGAGTTTCAGAGTTAAACTTAATAGTCCACATACTAGATCAGGGTAGAAACAGTACCAGTACACCTTCAGCAAATAACACAGAACAAATTTTAAGTAGCCTATCTGTATCCACATGTAAAAAGAAAAGCAAACGGAGAAATTTACCTACGTTTCTTAATTTAATAAAGTCACGCGTACGAATCAAGACTTCATTAGCGATCCCACCAATATTAGGAATTAAACCGGCGAAAAAATGAGATAACTTACAGTAGATGCAAGAGATATTCAAAGTGCGCGTCATATTCCTTTCTCCACATTTTACCACCCTCAATCGTACGGCGTACCAAACGAGACCTTATTCCGACTGCTGCTGAAATCCATCTTCTGTCTCAGGCGTGAAGGGAACCTCATCGGTCCGCTTTTATTTCTGACTCAACGCCCACATGACGCCAGAGGCTTTCGGGATTTCATACGATCTGTCTTCGAGATCAGCTGGCGGATTAATCGGCTGGCCGCCGCAGGACGGGCACAGCCGAGCCTCGGGATGGTCCGCATCCATAGCTGCGGCCCCGAAGCACGGGGGAAGGGGCGGAGTGTCCGACGGCAGCGCCTCTCACCGCGGCTGCACTTCCCCGCTTTCCTGTTAGGGCTTTCGGCACTGTAACTGTAGGCCTTCTTTACCAACTACATCTCGATATTTGACACCTACGAACAAATCAATACCGCATCAATTTGCCTAAAAAAAACTTGAGATGTTTTACGTGATTTATAATGCATGTTTTCTTTGGTGTAATTAATGTCAGGGTAACATACTTTTAAAATAAGTTATGCATACAATGACGGTCTCACTTCCTCATGGCTTTGAATGTCTATACTAGGTATGCCAGATATACATTATTATTATTATTATTGTTGTTATTGTTTCTGTTAATTTTAAAAATAAATTAATTTGTTTGTTTGTTTATTTATTTATAGAGCATTTTTAAATAACAGGAGTTGAACCAAAAGTGCTATACAGGCGATAAACCATTAAAAACAGCACAGATGACAAACCAATGTAACAAGAAGAATATGGGTCCGGCATCTTCACCAGTGCACCTACTCCCAAATTGTAGGCCTGGCATGCCGAGCCAGGAAGGGCAGCCAAGCTCTTTAGCAAAAGCGCCCGAAAACAGGCACCAATTTGCACTCTGCTAAGGTAACATCTGTGTAAACATGGCGCAGGCGGTATGGGGTACAGTACCCCCTTACAGACCCGGGCAGGTCAACACCAGTTCGCCGCCAGTCAACCAGCTGTTATACTCTGACGCCCGAACGTTCCCCATTTCACAGATGGGAAATCGTGAATGAAACGTGATTCAGTTAAATACTGACATGCAAATTTTCTTTTTTTCTCTTTGCTCGATGAGGCCGAGTACATTTAAGAAAATCCGTTACCAAATGTGCTTGTTAGCTTCCAGTATTCTGCCGCTTATAACCACTTACCCAGTACGAGGTCTATAAAATATGTATCGACAACTTACCAAAATACAATGTAGGCTAGTTAGTACTCATAAAGTGCTCAGCTACTACTCGCATTGTACTTAGACTTTAGATTAAAATGACACTGCTTTTGTGGGACTTAAATGTTTGTCTCCGTAAAATGAAATGTAGAACAGTCGGGAATTGAGTAGGATTTTGAAACTGAAAATTACGATAATTTCCTTTAAGTGTAGAGGGTTTTAGGTATTAGTAAGATATATGACGAATGTGTTTTGTCGGAAAGGGATTTCGGTAGAGGTGTTACACCACAGGCGTTCTTGACAAATCAAGAAATTTTAAAAATGACATGCCTGTTACTTTTGGTTTGACCCCTTTCTTCCTCTTTTCTGCTATTTAAAAAAATGCGTAATAACACCAAAAACAAACCCGTAACAACAGCAGCGATATATACAATTTATGTTTTATCTTTAGACGTATTTGTAAATATTTAAATAGGCCTATTTAACTTTAATGGTGCGATTGGGACGGCGATTCGAGGTTCATATCTCAAAGGTTCAGTAATGCTGTCAGTTTCCGTTCATTTTTTTTTAAAACATAGTTTACCTGAAGTTGAACAGCAGAAGAGCTGAATATTCTCAGTGTTTGTCTGTAATCAAACTGCAAACACGATAATCTCTCAGCTGAGCAGCCGGGTGTGTCTGTTTCTCTGAATAACTTGCCTGTCCAGCTGCCATAACATTTTCTGGATGGATGAAATGAAACGAAGAATGCTGATAGTCACGTGAACGTGAACTGAACTAAATACCATCAAGATGGTAATCCCGAGGCTCTGAACCGAAGGTCAGCATGTCTTCTAGTGGCTTTTGAGAGCTCCCTGGAATTAAATAATACAATGTTTTAAGTAAGAGTTTCATTTTAAAAGTTAAATCTCAGCAAATATTTTCAGATGCCCCCCCCCCCAATAACCAATCCTGATTTGCCATTTGAATTATTTATTTAAAAAGAGCATAATTTAGAAATTGTCATTGTCCTATCCTGTTCCTGGTACAGGGGCGAGACACAGTGCAGGCAGAAGAAGAAGGTGACGATCCACTGGCGGCTCAGGAACTAAAGCACTGGGTAAAACTACAAAGGAAAAGAACCATGAGGGGTCAAAAAACAAAACGGGGAAAAGAACGACTAACTACAAGGAATGACAAGGAAATAAGGCTCAGGAACTAAGCAACAGAGGGAGCAAGATCAGGCACAGAACAAAGCACAAACTCATACTGCAGAACAGAGTAACGTCTAATCTTCTGACACAATAACCAACAAAAGGCCAGTGACCTAAAGTCAGGCTTCCTCATCATATGTTACAGTGCGGGGATCCCAAACTCACTCAGGCCCTTTGTTGTTGTGTGTGAGATGAGACCGCCAGTGACCTAAAGT